TCCTCTGCCTCAAGGATCTCTTCCCCAATTACTCCCTCGCTTTTCCCCTTTCCCACAGTCTCTCCATTCTCTCAGTGGGTTCCCCCCGCCCCAACCTGTGGATCTTCTCTGCAGTCTTTAACTCAGGATTTCTGTCATCCCCATTCCCCCATCTAACACCTAAATTTCTTCTCCCCATCCTGGGACTCCTTCCCCTCCTGGAGTGTGACCCCTCCCTGTATGTGTTCTTTACATGTGTAGGCACAGCCTCTCGAATCGGTTTCCCTCTTCCTTTATCCGAGGTGGTTACAATGCCCAGCTCAGACAGACAGGAGCTGCTTTTCTCAGCCTCAGTGCCTGCCCTCGGCTTCAGCATCTACTCAGTAACCCAGGTGCCTGGCCAGAGCCCACAGGCTCACACCTCCAAGCCCAGATCCCAGAAGTCCTCGTCCCGCATCTTGACCATCCAAAATGAGGTGAGACCCCATTCAGATCCTCTTCCCTGCCCCAGTGGTAAATTTGAAGTGTCACAGTGAGCTGGATCAGTGAGTCTTGGTTTCCTGGTCTAGCATTACCATTCAGTCTCCCATCATGTGCCCTTGCGTGAGTGAGCGCCTTCTTTTGAGTCTCACTGTCCTTTCCCGGGACTGTTGTGAGGGCCTCGTATGATCATGGGTGACACTTGATGGATATGTCAAAGTTGACGGTCATAGGGGTTTGCAAACTAAGTGAAGTGAAGGTGTGTGGGAGATTTGAGTGAGGGAGCCACGTGGCCATTTGGAGGACATCTGGGGGAAGAGGAATCCAGGCAGGCAGGGAGCAGCAGACACAAAAGTCCTAAAGGAAATTAAAGTTTATAAATTTCCATTAGCCCCTAAAAGTTCGGCGGTGTGGTTCCTCTCCGTCAGTTGCACAAGCAGCCCTGATGGGCTGTGCAGACCAGCTAAAATGGATTTAGGGTATCACAGGCGCCCTCTGGTGGCTATGGGGGGAACAGACAGGGTAAAGCATGGTAGGCAGGAGCGACCAGGAAGAGGCTGGCTAGCTCTAGTCCCGGAAAGCCTTGGAGGTTGTGAGAAGTGGTCAGATTGAGGATAAGATAGAAGGTGGAGCTGTTAGGATTTGCTAGTAGGGTCATGTGTGAGGAGTGAGAGAGAGAGAAGAGGAAAAGGTGACTTTAGGGTTTTGTCTTGAGCCCCAGGAAGGATGAAGCTACCCTTGGCTAAAAGGATAGTCATTAACATCTGACCACCCTTTTCTGCCCAGTATATCCGGGCTAGGTTTGATCCTGAGACGGGGCTCTTGGTGGAGCTGGAGAACTTGGAGCAGAATCTCCTGCTGCCTGTTCGCCAAGCCTTCTACTGGTGAGGAAGGACTACCAGGTCAGGGAGGGGGCGTGAGCAGAGTTGGGGTCTCTTACCTGACGTTCACCTGCCCCGGCCCCAGGTACAACGCCAGTACAGGCAACTACCTAAGTGACCAGGTCTCAGGTGCCTACATCTTCAGACCCAACCGACAGGAACCACTGCTCGTGAGCCGCTGGGCTCAAATCCACCTGGTGAAGGTCCGGGGCCAGGAATAATGAGTGGGCATTGAGGGGTGTGTGGAGCCTGGGAGGGCGGTGCACTGTGTGTGGGGTGGGGGTTGGGGAAGATTTACATCTCCATCAGATCAGAGGGCTAAGACCTGAGGGGAAGACTTGAGGATCCTTTCACAGGGACGATATTCATCAGTTATACTGTGGCATACAAAGGCATTCGCATCTTCTGTGGGTGTCAGGATTATACATAGCTTTTGAAACTGGGGGTGGGGTGTTTCCACTTGGCCCATGAATGGGGAGAGCCAGGCAGAGCTACTTGAAGAGTTCACTAAGAATCTGTGCTGGGATGGGATTATGTCTGGGGTGGATACTGGAGAGTTCACACTTGGATGGGGCTTAGGTAGTTCACACTTAGGGTGGGTATTTGAACGTGCATTTGGCTAGGAACAATCTCACACTTGTAGGGTTTCCCGGGGCCTCACGTTGACATTTCTTCTTAGGGTGGGAATAGGGCAAGTAATGGCAAGACTCACCTTTGACATGACTCCCCTTGCAGTGAACCTCCTCATACCTGGGTTAGGGTATAATTTTGCCTGTTGTAACAGTTACCCAAATTAACTATTCTTAAACAAGACAGATGTTTCTTTCCATTGAACAGAAAGTCTGGCTGGGCCATCTAGGGTAGGTGGGGTGGTCCCACAGTCATCCAGGCTCCTTCTATCTCATTGCTCTTCCTTCTTCAACATTCAGCTTCTACCTCATGACCCAAGATAGCTGCTCAAGCTCCAGCCATCACATTTGCATTCGAACTGGTGGGAGAGGGAAAGGGGCAAGGAACATTGTTCATAACTCTATGATCATTTTCCACTGGGCAGACCATAGTCACACAGCTCCTGATAGCCTCAGGGAAGACTGGACAATATAATCTTTATTTCAGGTAGCCACATGCCCAGCTAGGATCCTATTCTATGGAGGGGAGATGAGGTAGTGGTAGGCAGCAAGCATATATGCCACACTCAAGAATTATGTGGCAATGACTGAAGTGAGAAGTGTGGGCATCATGCCTAGGTAGGTGGGGGAGGTGAGTGGTATTCTTATGTTATTAGTGGGGTTGACCCTGATGTAGGCCTTTGTGAGGTTCATGGTAGGCGTGGACATTTGTAGGGTTCACCTCTGCTCAAGTACGGGCTCACACCTGCCCTCCATTCCCATGTGCCTGCAGAAGGCCTTGGTGCAGGAGGTACACCAGAACTTCTCAGCCTGGTGTTCCCAAGTGGTTCGTCTGTATCCAGGACAGCGGCACCTGGAGCTGGAGTGGACAGTGGGACCAATACCTGTGGGGTGAGTGGCACAGGGTGGGACTGGGTGCTGGGGGCTGGGGCAGAGCGGACGTAGGCGAGCCTCACAACCTTGTCATTCTATTGGTTATAGTGATGGCTGGGGAAAGGAGGTCATCAGCCGTTTTGACACTGAGCTGGAGACAAAAGGACTCTTCTTCACCGACAGCAATGGCCGAGAGATCCTGGAGAGAAGGTGGGGGTGACTGGGGTCACCGAGGAGTGGTCTGTGGTGTGTTGGGGCCCATGGGTAGTGGAGGCCTCTGCTGATTTTATGAATAGGGGAAAGAGAGGTTGGAGGGGGAGCAAATGGTGGGTGAGCCTGGAAAGGGGAGCTGGGCCCCGGGTCTGACCAAACCCTACCCTCACCTCTCAAGACGGAATTATCGACCCACATGGGTGCTGAACATGACTGAGCCAGTGGCAGGAAACTACTATCCAGTCAACAGCCGCATTTACATTACGGTACCCCCTCCCCCATCCTGCTCCCCTGATCTTCCGGACATTTCTCTACAGAGTGGTCACCCCTCATTCTTAGCATCTCCCAGGTGTCCTTGGCAGTCCACCATCCCCTGTGGGGCATGTTTAGGGGCTAGGGCGGGCTGGCAGTGTGCCCCCTCACTCTCACCTCTCACCCCTCACCCGTCAGGACGGGAAAGTGCAGCTGACGGTGCTGACAGACCGCTCCCAGGGCGGCAGCAGCCTGAAAGACGGCTCCGTAGAGCTCATGGTGAGTGGCCTGTGCCCCATCTAAGCTAGGGTTCTCCCACCCGTTTCTGCCTTGGCCTCCTGCTAGACTTCGAAGCTGGTGTCTGACCCAGTTCTCCGCTAGGTGCACTCCTCCGTTCGGGCTTTCATTAAGCCGAGACCTCTATTCCTATATGAGACATTCCCTCCATGCTTTTATCCAGTCCTTACCCAGGTGCCCCCTCCAGGTCCTGACTTGCCCTGTGTACGCCCCCGTTAGGTCCTTACCTCTCTCTGTCCTAGTCCCCTGCAAGGTTGGATCCGCACGTCTGCTGGGGTCCCCCTTAGCAGAATTTCATCGTCAGCTGTTTCCCCGACTCTTCAGTTTCTCTTGAAATTCCCACAAGCCCTTACCCGATTTACAGCCCCGAAATTGACCAGAGGAGCCCTCACCCTCTCCTGGTTACTCTCCCTGCAGGTGCACCGAAGGCTGCTGAGAGACGATAGACGCGGAGTTGGGGAGCCGCTGCTGGAGAATGGGTCGGGGTTGTGGGTGCGGGGGCGCCACCTCGTGCTGCTGGATAAGGCCCAGACCGCCGCTGTCAGGCACAGGTTGCAGGCGGAGAAGGAGCTCCTGGCCCCGCAGGTGGTGCTGGCTCAGGGTAGCGGCACTCCCTACCACCCGGGGGTCACCCCGCGCAGGCAGGTGAGAGGCGGTGGGGCCGGCAGAAAGAGAGGACCCAGCTGAAGCCTGCGGTGGGGGGCGGGTCTCCCTAGGCTTAGCTAGGACCCACCTCGCCCGCTCCCAACTGGTCCTGGGGCAGCCATAAGCTAGCTAGCTCCCAGTTGCGGCCCAGTCTCATCGCACCTGTGCTGGGTCTACAGCCTCAGGGCCCGCCCCTCCTCACCTAACCTCGCTCCGCTCTACCCCAGGCTTGGTCCTGCCCCGCCCCTTGGCCAGTCCTGGCATCTCCACGCGGTAGCTTTATCCCTGCCCTCAGTCGGGTCTCAGGCTGGATCAGTTTGGCCCCTTTCGGGGTTCGGACCGGCCCCCAACCTGGCACCACCCCGTTATCCTTATTAGTTTAGCCCTGCCTACCAGGACTAAAAACCGCCCCCAGCAGAGCCCCGCCTCCTGACTTCGGCCCGGCCCCTCTGGCTTGGCCCCGCTCATCCCCGCCCCCTTCCGTAGTTCTCAGGGCTGCGCTGGGAGCTGCCGCCTAACGTGCATCTGCTCACGCTCGCCCGCTGGGGCCAGGAAACGCTGCTGCTACGCTTAGAGCATCAGTTTGCCATACAGGAGGATATGGTCGGCAACTTGAGCTCTCCGGTGACCTTGGACTTGAGGGTGAGGAGAGCAGAGGTGGGAGGGAGACAGGAGAGAGGCAAGAGAGGGGAAAGCGGAAACCCCATTCTGTCCCCACTCAGCCCTGTCCATCCACTCCCCGCAGGACCTGTTTTCTACCTTCACCATCACTGACCTTAAGGAAACCACGCTTGCTGCCAACCAGCTCCGGGCCAGTGCCTCCAGGCTCCAGTGGACACTGAACACGGATGAAGGTCTGCCCCCGGGCCTTGAAGCTAGGGGATGCGTGGGAGGTGTGAGAATGTAGGCCAGGGACCAGGTCCAGCTCAAGGGTCTGGGGTGGCATTCAGATCAGGTTAGGGGTTTAAGGGTCTTAAGTGGGTCCGGCAAACTAGCGGTGGGTCTTGGGTGTTTGAGGTTGGAGTGCAGTCCCAAGAACAAGATTTGAGGCTCTGTCAGCGTCTAGTTCAGGGGTGGGGTAGGGTTGTCCATCATCCCTGGGGTTGGCTTGATAGTCCTTGAGGTGGGGCTTAAAGGTGTGAGGGCGGTGGCTAGTCTGTAAATTCCTAGGGACAGATTTGAGAGTGTATGGCTGTGTCCAGGCTCAGGGGAGGGAGTCTAGGGGTGGGAGAGTGAGGTGGGTGAAGTCTGCATCCCTCACTCCTCCCCTGCATCTCCCCAGGCCACACACCCAAGTCCTCTCCCTTCCGGCTGGACCCGGCCAACGTCACACTGCAGCCCATGGAAATCCGCACCTTCCTGGCCTCAGTCCAGTGGAAAAAGGATGGCTAGACTTGCTGGGGGGCAGGAAGCCCCCTTTCCAGCCTTAACCCCTTCTTCCAGGGGTGGAGCAAACTGATCCCCTTCTCTTGCTGCTGATGCCACCAATGAAAGCCATTAAAATGCCACTACCAAGCCCCGGGTTAAAGTGTGACTTAGTGTGTTTTTTAAAAAAAAATTTTTTTGAGGGTAAGTAAAGCCTCCAAATTCTAGCTGCCTTTTGACTCTAGGGCTTGTAGAGAGGTGGCTTAGCTGCTTGAATCCTCACACCAGACTACATGGTTCGTGACCAGCCTCATCCTCCACTCCATCTCCCACTCCTGCTTCCTGCCTCTGTCCACTCAGACTGTGGCATAGCTGTCTTGAGTAGCTACCAAGGGCAGGCCCAGTGAACTGGGGTTTAGAATCAAGAGGAAGTGACTTCTGTGTGCAGGTCACTTGAAGGCACATTGAAGCCATGGAGGGGCATAGTTTAGGTGTGGTCAAGGGGTGGGGCTTAATCAGGAGTGGGAAGGAAAGAGCTGAGCCAATGAAGAGACAGAGTGATGTCAGGTTGGGGGTGGGTCCCACCAGTGGGCCATGTGGAGACCAGCATTCTGCTGCATGGGCCCAGAAGTGCCTCTAGAAAATATCAAATACCGTGTGTGTGTGTGTGTGTGTGTGTGTGTGTGTGTGTGTGTGTGTTGGGATAGGGGCAGACATGAGCCTAGGCTGGCCAGGAATCTCTGGGGAGTGCACCTTGGGCCTGGATGAGGTCACAGGTGGGACCTGGGTGCTAGACATACCTCTTGAAAAATTTTCTAAGTCTCTCCCTAAAGAGATGGACCCAAGGAGAGACCCAAGGAGGGCACCCCATCTAGTTGCCATCCCTCATGGGGTCCAATTGTTGGATATACCTCCCCTAAACTTTAAAGTTTCTTTTCAGAAGGGGGAGGCAGCAGAGCCAGCCATGGTAGCCCTGGGCACGTGCCCCAGGGCTGTCTGCTGTCTCTGTGGTAGGAGGTGCCCAACCAAATTGCTTAGAAGTATTCCTCTGGTGGTAGGGATTGGGCTGGGCTGGGCTGGGTTGTGGGCCCCAGGGATGGTATCTTGGGCCCAATTGCACATAGGCCTCCTGAAGACATATCTAAGTCCTCTTCCAAAGGTGGGCAGTGGGCTGCCTAAGGTTGCCTTGGATCCTCCCCTTGTCCTGCGTGGCGTCTGATGGCTGGATACATCCCTGCAAACCTCTTTATCCTTTGATGATGAGGCTGGCACAGGCGAGCCAGAGAGACTTGGTGGGTTCCAGGGCCAGGCTGTGGTTCTGCATGGGTCTTGGTCTTGGACCCATCTCGTAGTACCTCCTGAAAACGTATCAATGTCCTCATCTAAAGGAGAGGTACCAGCCTGGGAGGGAGAGATAGACCCATGGAGAATACAGTGGGCTCATGTGCTGTCACTCTTGGGTCCTGGTTATTAGGAGTGCCTTCTGAAAAGTTTCTATGACCTTTGGTGGAGGCCGGGACTGAATTGCAGTTGCTGGATGTGCTCCCCCCTCCCATTTTTATCAGTCTCCTTCCCTCCGGAGGCGGTAACAGGCCCTAGTCCTGCAGGGAGGCCCAGGGAGAGTGTTTTCAGCTTAGCCACGGTCACATGTGGGCCCTTTGCATCACTTATTCCTCTGAAAAATGTTTCCAACTTACCCTGCAGAGGGAGGCATCGGCCAGGCCCCTTAGGGATCACTATGGAGGGTGACCTGGGCCCAGCCACAGTCTCATGTAGGGCCAGGTTGCCAGATGTACTTCTTGAAAATATTTTTAAGCTCTCTTGGGAGAGATTTCCAATAGGACAGCCCCGGAGCCCCACCCAGTCTCACGTGGGTCAGGGTCATTGGGGGCGCCTCCTGAATAGTGTCTAAGCCCTCCTCTGTAGGCGAAGATCAGCCTGGCCATCCAGGAAGTTGTGTGGATGGTGCCCCGGGCCCACCAGGGCACCCCTGGCTGCTGTGGGCCAAGATATGCTGTTCTAGTGAGACCCAGAAGAGGTGGCATCTGGGGGTCCCGGCCGGTCCAGGTCAGTACAGGTTGCGCAGGTTGTCGCTGCCACCTGGCGGCCGCTTTTATATCGTTCTCAGGAGCTCGCCAGCCTTGGGCACGGGATGAGATCCCTTTGCTCAGCCCAAGGCTGAGTTCCAGGAGGCGGCAGCGATGTTGTCTCTGCTGCAACACATGCCACCTCCGAGCGTGCTCTCCTGAGATCGTCCCTGCAGTATAGTGGAGTGCAACATCTGAGAATTGCATGGGCCGGCTGACTGTCACACAGAGGTCCCCTCCGTCCGCGGGAACCAATTTGGGCCGTCCAGGGTTAGGGCGCCCTGGGCTCAGCCGCGTTCCCGCCTGGTGCCGGGTTGGGAGTGCCTCCTGAGAATTTTTGTAGGCTCCCCTCTGGGATCTGGGATCGCAGCCAAGGAGGCCCAGGAGCACCAGTCATCCTGCCACAATCCCGCACAGGACACTGTCTTTGGGTGTGAGTCCTAAAAAATTTTCCTTCTGAACAGGGACAGGGAGGCGGAGGGAGGATTCGCACTCAGCTTCAGTTAGTTACACTGGGGCCTATTCTTGGACACTCCCGTCAAACATTTGTAAGCCTCCCTCCAATGATAGGGACCATTATGGGCCAAACCGGGTCAAGAGGTGGGTGCCTTGGATTTTGTCACAGCCCACGGCAGGGCAGTAGTCCTCCAGAATCTGCTAAAAGCGGTTCCAGTTCTGCTTGGGGTGGGGGTGGGGCACTGGCCCCGGTTGGTCAGGGAGGTTCCAGTAAGATGCCCTGGAGGCTTCGTTTTTGTGTGGGCCTTCCAGAAAGTTTTCTAAGCCTTCCAAGGAAGGCTGAATCCTTAGGGGGCTGCAAGGGAGCCTGAGGAGGTTGCTTTCTGCAGGCAACTGTCCTCAGTGGGACCCAGTAATTACCTACACCTTCTGAAAACATTTCCTGAGGGGAGGGAGGCCCTGGGGTCAGCTCCCTACACCAGGATTGCTGAAGTCACATGTGAGTTCTCTTCATTAGATATACCTCCTGAAAAGTTTTAAGTATCTCTCTTTAGTAATAAGCCAGCCAGAAAGAGAGGCCCTTTGACTGCTGTGGGAGTCTGTTCACAGCCCAGATTGAAGCAGTAGTTAGAAACACCCCCTAAACCATTTCAGTGTCCCTCTACACAGGCTGTGACCAGCCCTGGCTGGCCCTGGAGGCTGGAGAGAGCAACAGTGTCCTGTCTGTGGTCTCACGTGGTCCCAGTTGTCATATTTGTCACTTGAAAATGTTTCCAAGTTCCTCTGAAAAAAAGATCACCAGTATGGGCTGGTGAGGGATACCGGAAGAGGGTGCCTGTGCCTGGCTGTAATCACATGTGATGCCGTTTGATGAGTGCACCTTGTCAAAAAATGTTAAAGTATCTTTCAGGAGGTATAGGGACCAGCCAGACAGAAATAGAGGCCCAAGAAATGCACTCAGCCTGGAGATGATCCTTTGTGGGGCCAGCTCTCTGCTTATTCCTTCTGGAAATTTTGCTATGTCTCCCTCTGGAGAAAGGAGCCCTGGGTCCTCCATCTTGCATGGGGGATAGGAGGCACCTTCTAAGCCGGTGGCAAAGAACTAGCTTGTCTGGTCAGTGATGACGGGAAGTCACCCACATCTGGCCACAGTGTTGCAATAGGTCATGGTTGTCACATGTGCCTCCTGAAAATGTTTCTAAGTCCCCTTTCTTGGGGAGAGGCACTGTCCTGGGCCAGTTAGGGATCTACTATGTGGGCACCCTGGATGTGGCTGTGGTCCTTCGAAGGGCCTGGTTGTTGGCGGTGCCCCCCAAATGTTTCTAAGTCTCCATCAGTGGAGGCGTTGACCCTTGTTGCCAGGTTCTGTGTTGGCCCCAGTCATCTGATTCAGCTCACACAGACATTTGTAATTCCTGGTCAGCATAGCAGGCTTTCAGAGAGCATCTGGGCCAGGCCTCAGTCTTCCATGGGTCATGGTCACAGAGAGGGCTTCCCAAAAGGTTTTTGAGTCCCTTTTTGGAGGCTTGGACTGGCCTTGGCTGGACAGGGAAGGCCCAAGGAGAGGGACCACAGTATGTTCCAGAATTTTCTAAGCCCCCCTCTGGAGAGGGGGACCAGCCTAGGCCTGCTAGGGACACCTTGGGAGAGATCACTGGGCCCAGCTCCTGTTCTTCATGAGGCTCAGTTGTCCAATATCCTTCCTGAAAACTTTTCTAAATTTCCTTTATGTCTGGGGCACAGGCTATGTCTGGCCAAGGAGGCCTGGGCGTGGCAGTAGTCCTATGTGGGTTTCATTCATTTGGAACATCTCTCAGAATGTTTTCTAAGTGATCTCTGGAGGGTGTCCAGAGCCAAGCGGCGGCCCTGCGTGGGTTCTTTATTAGTTTGCTAGGACCGTGTGACAAAGTACAGCTAACCCTTGAACGACATGGATTTGAACTGCGCAGGTGCACTTATATGCAGATTTTTTCAATAATACCGTAAATATGTTTTTACTTCCTTACGAATTTCTCACCATTTTCTTTTCTCTAGCTTACTTTATTGTAAGAATACTGCATATAATACATATGCCAAATATGTGTTCATTGACTGTTTATGTTATTGGAAAGGCTTCTGATCAACAGTAGGCTTTTAGTAGTTAAGTTTTTGGGGAGTCAAAAATTATACATGGGTTTTTGACTGCGTGGAGGGTCAATGCCCCTAACTCCATGTCATTCAAGGGTCAGCTGTACTCCAAATTGGACTTCTTAAACAACAGAAATTTGTCTCGTGGTTCTGGAGGCTAGAAGTCTCAGCTCAATGTGTCCTCGGGGTTGGTTCCTTCTGGAGTCTGTGAGTGAGAATCTGTTCTTGTATGTGAGTTTGTCCAATTTTTTCCTATTTATAAAGATACCGGTCATAATGGATTAGGGCTGACCCCAGTGACCTCATCTTAACTATTTATATCGGCAATAATCCTGTTTCTAAATAAGATCGCATTATCAAGTACTGGGGGTTAAAACTTCAACATGGGAATTTTAGGGTGAGACAATTCAACACATAACAGGTTTCAAGCATTGGAAGTGCCTCCACTTTACTGTACTTTTAGGGGTAGAGTTTTCTTAGTCCTCCACCAGAAGTTGGGACTGACTTGGGCCAGACAGGAAGGCTTGTGAAGACATCTGGACACCTGATGTCTTGGGGGTTCTGCTTTTAGGATGGACCTTCCCCAAATGTTTTTGAGTTCCTCTCTGAAGGGGAGGACTAGTTCAGGCTAAGCAGGAGGCCCAGGAAAGTCACTCTACTACCACAAGTGGTAATGACTGGTGCTTGGCTATAGAAGGGCCCCACCCGCCAAATATTTCTTAACTCCCCCTGTGATGTGTTTTTGGTGTTTCCAACTACCAGGCCCTATGTGAGACTGTGGCTGAGTTCACAGTGCCCTCCCTGAAATTCCCTGGTGACCGGATGTGCCTGCAGATTTTTCTAAGTCTCTCTCCTCTACACGTCTGTCCTTATGTCAGTGCCACACTGTTTTGATTACTGGAGCTTTGAGTAAGTTTTGAAATCAGGAAGTGTAAGGTCTCTAACTTTATTTTTCTTTTTAAAGATTGGTTTGGCTATTCAGGGTACCTAGAGATTCCATATGAATTTTAGAATGGATTTTTTTTTTCTCTTTTTGCTAAAAACATTGTTGGGATTGCATTGACTCTGTAGGTCAATTTTGGTAGTATGACATCCTAGTATTAATGAACACAGGTTGTCTTTCCATTTATTGGTATCTTCTTCAGTCTCTTTCAGCAACTCTTGTAGTTTTCAGTGTACAGGTCTTTTGCTCCCTTGGTTAAGTTTATTTCTAAATATCATATTCTTCTCGATGCTATTGTAAATTAAATAATTTTCTTAACTTCACTTTTGAATTAGTTGTTCATTGTTAGTGTATAAAAACACAATGATTTTTGCGTGGTAATTTTGTATTCTGCAAATTTGTTGAATATTCATTCTAACGGTTTTTTTCATGTGCAATCTTTAGAGTTTTCTACATATAAAATCATGTCTGTATACAGAGATGATTTTATATTTTCTTTTCCAATTTAAATGCCTTTTATTTCTTTTTCTTGCCTCATTGTTCTGGCTAGGATTTTCAGTACTATGGTGAGTACAATTGATGAAAGAGGGCATCCTTGTCTTGTTCCTGATCTTAGAGGAAAAGCTTTTAGTCTTTTACCATTGAGTATGATGTTCACTGTGGTCTTTTCATATATAGCTTTTATTACGTTGAAGTAGTTTCCTTCCGTTCCTTGTTTATTGAGTGTTTTTTTTTTAATCATGAGAGAGTATTGAATTTTATCATTTGCATATTCTGTACAGTTGAGATGATCATGTGCTAGTGTGGTGTATTATACCAATAGAAGGAAAAGCTTCCAGTTCTTCACTATGTTTTATTTATTAAACCCTTATGAAGGTTTTACCCTCTGCCTCATGGAGTGCTGAAGGTGAAATAATTTTTTTTCACAATCGATGGTCTTGAAATGATGATATATATTTTACCTTTATAGTTTTTCCCTACATGTTCAGGACCCTGACATCAGAGAGAAATAAGATGTAATGTGATCATGGTGACAATGTGTAAATCATTTCCATGTGTTCATGATAGTGTTATATTTATGAGAAAGTTAGTGCGGACAGAGAGTAAATCTCTGATGATCAAATCATAGAATAAATGTTTGGAGTTGACAGAATCATACTTAACCTTCTTATAAATGGAGTCTAAGATGGTAATTAGGGCTGTGTGCTAGTTTCTAGCACCTCTGCCCTATGCAGTTCTTTACATCAAAGTTTATTTACAACCACATTTATAAAAAAAAATAAATGGAGTCTAGGTGTCCAGTGCTGTCAGTCTCACACATCCTACTGTATATAAATTTGGGGTGTTTTAGGACATAGTGGGAGGATGTGGCTGTGAACTGCTCCCCCCCACCCGGAGTAGTGGGCCTTACTGGATCCTTCACAGAAGAAACTCTACAGAGATGTGATGTGGGAAACCTTCAGGAACCTGGCCTCAGTGGGTAAGAATGATGACTTTCCTTCAATTGTCAATTAAGGAACAAGTGTTTCTTGCTTATCAACATTGTTCCAAGAGGTGGAATGTGGAAAGGGAGGATGCTGGTAAATAGCCTGGGCATGGTCACAGCTCATCATGGATCTAGAAGCTGATAATTTTTCTATAATTCTAATGCTTTGGAATCATTTTTCTGGGTCTGCATTTTAGGAAAGGAATGGGAAGATCTTAACATTGAAGATCAGTACAAAAACCATGGGAGAAAATGAAGGTGAGTCACACAGTAGAGAGAAATGTATTATGTGAGAATTCTAGTATGTTATCAAAATTTAAAAAGAATCAAGCAAACAAATAAAAATAAACCCTGCTTCAAATGTATTTTTTCTTAGAAAATTTTTACCAAAATACTTTAAAAAGATGTAACATACATGTTTGCCAAATAGTTCAATTAGAAATAGCATTAATAAATCCCACATATGAATATCACAGTTTGATAATAGCAAGGGTGAAGTCTTCTTGGAGAGCATTCAGTATATTTAATTTCAGGCTATTCAAGTAAGACAGAATACCTATACTTTTCCTATAAATCATAATAAATATAATGAATATAAAATCATTAGTAAAGAAATCATTAATACCGTGCTTATTTTTGTTTTTATTTTTTATAACAGAAGTCCAGTGGAACAGTCTGTGCTGTGAAAGAGGTTGGTCAAGTGTGCAGAAAACTTCAGCCTTATTTCAAATCTCAGTCTGAAGAAGGAAACTACAAGAGTAATACCATGTGAACACAGTGCATGTGGAAAAGTCTTCATGCATCTTTCATCCCTTAGTAGGCACATCAGGCGTCACACTGGACAAAAAGCATATGAGTTTCAAAAAATATTGAGGGAAGCCAGATCAGTGTTGAGAATGTGGTAAAGCCTTCAGTTATCCACCCTGGTTTGAAAAACATGAAAGAAGTCACAATGGAGAGAAACCCTATAAATGTAGGGAATGTGGGAAAGCTTTCAGTTGTTCAAATTCACTTCGAACACATGAAAGAACCCATACTGGAGAGAAACCCTATGAATATAAGGAGTTTGGAAAAGGCTTCATTTCTCACAACCTTTCGAAGACATGACAATGCAATGTGCAGAATTTGGGAAAGACTTCAGTTATCCTAGCTCCTTTTGAAAGTGTGAAGTGATTCACTGGATAAAATCTCTTCAGTGTAAACGGCATGGGAAAGACTTGAATTGGCCCACACCATTACATGTGAAAATTCCCATGGAAGATAATAAAAATGTAAGTAAAATGAGAAAGCTTGATAGAAATTAATTCATGTATATGGTATGCCAGAAAACTTTCAACATGAAAGAATTCTTATTAAAGTCCTAAATATATTGTGCTTATTGAACATTTTTTAAAAGGGCATCGTTGGAGTATAGATTTCTACTAATTACTTTCAGAAATGAATATTCAAGTGACATAATGCTAAGAGTTGTCTTTCAACAATAGTACATAAGATTAAAAGGTAGTGCTTTTTCCTTAAAACATTTAATAATATTTTCTCACCATTTTGAAGCCTGTTAGATCCATGGGTGAATTGAACTGCATTTCTCATATGCAGTTAGGTTAAATTTTTAAATAATGTTTTATTCGTTCTGTATTAAGGGACCATTGAAAAATGACAGTTTGGTATTTGGCTTTTCTGAGTGGCCTTGTGGAAGTCCTTTCTATGCCTAGTCCACTATATATATTTTACTTTTCTTACTGACAAAGTTTTTTTTGGGGGTGGTGGTGGTGGTGATAGATATAAGAGCCTTTTTTCTATTTTCCATACTAATAAATAATTGGAATAAATTTGATGTATGGCAAGTTTATGAAAGAATCTAGTTTTGTGTGAATTATTATTTTCACATTTGGTCCTTTGTTTTTCATCCCTCCCTCTGACTGATATTTCGTGAATAGATTTTGAATTAAAAAAAGAGACCTGTGAAAACATCAGGTAGAGATGTTTAGAGGCAGTCATCCAAGGAATAAGTGGGGTGAGCTGTAGAGAGAGGGTATTATTTTGAGTAATATCCTAATTGCATATAAAAATAGATATGACAGATTTTCAACATCTTTTATTGTAGGAGTGGCTGAAAGTCTTTTGTTTCAATGATCCGCAAAAGCCCCACAGCCCATTTTGCTCAAGTTTCATTTCCATATGCTTAGACATCCAGCATACGTGAAAGAGTGGGAAACGGAAGTAATAGCTATGAGTTATAATCAAGAGAAAAGGAATTCAATCTTTTCCATTTTTTTTTTTTGTGTTTAACTTACATATTGGACAGGTTTTGTTCAAATGGGCACCACAGCATATTCTGTTGGGGTGATGGCATGTTTTTCATCTTTTGATGGTGATATTACTATATATTTGGGGAAACTCACAAATAACTGCAAATATTTCATATATATACACACACAGACACAGTCACGTGCCACTTGATGACAAGAATAGATCTGAGAAATGCATTGGTAGGTGATTTTGTCATCATCTAGATGTCAGAGTGCACTTACACAGAACTAGGTGGCATGTCCTACTACACACCTAGGCTATATGTTCATTAGTGACTTAAAATGTTGTTTTGCAGTGCATGACTCGAGTGTGTGTGTGTGTGTGTGTGTGTGTGTGTGTGTGTGTGTGTGTTTAATAGAAAACAAGGAACACAATTGCTAACCTATCCTGGGAGAATGTTAAGCTCTCCCGAACCTTGATTTCTATGTTTTCACCACTTCTTTCCACCAATGTGGGATCCTTATTGGGAAGAACCAAAAGTCTGTGATGAAGAATTCAGTCCCCACCAGGCCTTTCTTGCAGCCCTGTCTTAATTAAGGAAACATCCTGTAGGATTGCACTGCTCTCATCTCATTCATGTAACTAGGAGTGAAGTGGGAGGGCTCCCAGAATCTGTCCTGGAGTTTAAATCAGGTTCCTGGGACAGATCTCTGGACGCGCTGTGGCTCTGAGACATAAAGTTGCATCCCAAGTGGGATCTGCCTGGGATCTGTCCTCAGTCATGGGCGTCAGCATCATTTCCTTCCATCGCCTCCACGGCCCATTTCCAGCTCTTTGTTTCCCAACTCAAGTCTACTCTGTGCCTCCTTCCTCAGAAATGTCTTCAGAAATCCATGCATATCCCACTCTGGAAAAATACTCTGAGCAGGAGGCTATGAATTTAAACGAGAAAGTGATAGAAGCAGGGGCAGAACCTGTGTCATGGCCACATTCCTATTGGCTACAGCGATCCCAGCTGTTGCATATTTATCAGATGTGCTTACTAACTTAATAAAACAAGACTTAAATATCTACTGACTGTGAATGGAGAAACGAATGGCCCTAGAATTTGTTTCTTTTTGAGGCAACAAAAATGTTCAAAAATTGCAGTGCTCATTGCACGTATCTGTGAATACACTAAAAAACACTGAATTGTACCCATTAAAGGATGCGTTGTATGGTATGTGTATTCTATCTCAATAAAGCTCAAATAAATAGATGCATTAGGAGTTTTGAATCAACATAAGTTTGAATCAATGTGATTGAGTTTTCAGGTGCATCCCACATTTCCAAAACCTTTATTGTTTTTTCTTATATTGATGATAATAGGAATTCAGTTGCCTTAGGGATATCATAGCCTTTTACGTCTCAAAATCTCTAGGCACACACTGAAAAACTATCTAAAATAAATTTCCTTGATCTGTAAAATGTATACCCGAGAGTTTTATTGAACGCATCTCATAGCTTATGGTTGGGTGTAAAGAGCCATTGTGTCCAGGTGAGGGCTTCCAGGTTCCAACTTCCCAGCAGAGCCAAGACCTTGAGGATTCCTTCGCTAAAAGACTGCATGTCCGGAGGTGGGGAAGGGATGGGTGGAAGCCTCAGCACTGTAAGCAAAGATCGAAATGGCGCCAGAATCTTCGTTGCATATGGTGAGTTCATAGTCATAGTTCCACGAGTGGCCTCGCAGCCTCTGCCAACCGCTGACCCGTGGAGAACTCCAGGTCCCCTGGTCCCAGTCTGGCCTAGCCTGGGTGCCCCTCTTGCTCAGGACAAGAGTGTCTCTCCATCTGGAAACAGGCTGAAAAAACAGGCTGCGCACACCTGTGTCCGGCGTTCAGCATAGGCTACAGGAAGACACCTCTAGGACCAGGAACAAGTTTTGTTTAAAGGCAAACGTCGGTGGAGGAGACAGGCTGGTTCTGCTCAACCCTCTAACCTCTCCGGGTCGTCACTCAGGGAAACGGGGTGGGGTGGGGGCGGGGAGGCGGGTCTTTACGAACTGTCCAATCAGGGAGACAGCAGGGAAGGTGGGTGGGGCCACACTCCGCAAACCACGTGGATGTTCCTGGTCGCACTCGCGTTTCACCTGAGGGTAACGGTCCAGGTGTCCCTGCCGCAGATCCATGGCGTAACGTTCGCCATCCGCGGGAGCCGAAGGGACAACGCCGGAGGACCCCAGACCCGAGAAACGGTGAGTATGGGCGTCGGGTGTTCCAGGACGGGGACGAGGGGCTGGTCTGAACCGACTGTGGCGGGACCCGGGCCTCCCCGTGGTCAAGTCAGGACTCTGCGGAGCCGCGTCTCCCGGGGGCTCCGCTGAGACCTCAGTCCCCTCCAGCCCGCAGCGTGGGGACAAGGCCGGCAGCCGGGACCCCGGGCGTGCTGTCCCGTCGCTGCGCGCGGCGACTCCGGCCCCGGAGCCTCTCTGGGCAGCTCTGCGCCCTCGGCCCTACGTCTCCCCAGACGGTTCCGTGACCACGAAGAGGGTTACTGGGGGACAGTCGTGACTCGGTCTGCAGGTTCGTACATGGGAGGAGCTGTGGTCTGTTGGGTCCCCAGCCCTCCTTTCTCCTGAGTTTTCCAAATGTTTGGAAAGCAGGGTCTCAGATCCACGACCCTGTCCCCCCAGCATAGCTCTTCTCCGAACTGGAAATAAATTTGTGAATTTCCAGATCCCTCCCCGCGTTCCTAAACGCCAACTTCCTCTCCCCAATTCACAGCATCATTTTCAATGATTTGTTTATCATTTTTCCACAGAGCCATGGATGGCTCTTTTCAAAGATTTGTTTATTCGTTTATTTTTTTTGTCCGTGGATATTTTACTTGGGACAAGAGCTAGGAATAACTACTTGGAAAACTAGAAATCCGTTGCTTGAAATCTTTGCGCCTCTCCCCACAGGACCTCCCCTGGGCACAGACGTCATGTGGGAAGTCCTTTGGGTGGAGGGTCCTCCTTGAAACTTTCCTGGGTGTTTTGTCCTGTCAGCAAGGCCCCTCCCGGGGTTTGTCACCTGAAAAGACTTATTTGTCTTTTTCATTAGTGGTAAAATACATTTAATTAACAGAGCTGGAAAGACAGTATAAAATAGTTCCAAACAGGCAAGGAAGAGGTAACTTTTAGAAATAACAAAATGTTCCAGGGGTACACGCATTTGAGTGGAACTATTCTATCATTCTTTCTTCACCTGAGCACGTGTAGTAAGTTCTGAGGTCTGTTTTTCACTTTGGGTGTTTTCAAATGAAATTCCAGGTTTAGACTTGGAGAGCAGAAGCGTTCAAGTATGATCATTTACAAACCATTACTTACCATGGAAATATAATTAACTGACATCTTTTTCTCTGAAAAGACTATAGATATTAGGGATTTTTTTAAATTGAACTAGTGAAAAACCCTTTTTCTTCCTTCCTTTCCACATAATCTCTGGGTTTGTGTGATTTTGGTGGGTTATTTAAACACCGAGTTTTTGTCATTTAATCTATCTATGGCTGCCCAAAGCAACTGCAGTGGGGAGCAGAAGCCTGAGGTCAGTGGCCAAAGCTAAGGCCCCCTTGACCCACAAAAGGAAGCACTTGAAGGCCCAGTGGTTCTCCCTGGGGACACTCCCCCTGCAGGTGTCCTACCTACTCACACCCACTGTGGAGGAGCCTTTACACTGAAGCAGCCGCAGCCCAGGAAAGCTGGGGTGCACGTGCACATGGGGGAGAGGGGAGTGAAGATCTTTCTCAGGTTTTAGTTGTGGTTCCCTAGGGCCTGTTTCTAGACACAGGAATTTTGATCCACAGTGTGAGTGCACTCAGAGTGTAATTTGTGGCCATTGAGAAAACCTGTATTTTCAGTCTCTGCCTCCCTGTCCCTTGTAACATTGCTGTCATTCATTTCATTTATCTATAAGCAATAATCACTAAATACATTGTTCTTATTGTGCCTTT